ATCCAATACACATAAAAAAACTATATATATATATATCTACACATAATCTATAATGAGTGGAAAGTGAAATAACCTGTGCTGTAACGCAAAGCGTGTGTAAAATTGTGGAATAGTTTTGAGACAGTGTTTCACAATGCATGGGACGAATTGCACGATTTGCACGAATTTGATTACTCCAATTGAAGGGTATATATTTAATATTTATCCATGATTAAGTGTCTGTCGTTTCTTTTCGTCCATAGGCGGTGATCGACAATTCAATGAAGATGGGGCAGTTTCTGGTGGAGCAAGGCGCTAACCTTGATGCACTTGACAACGAGGGCTGGACGCCGCTGCATGCAGCGTCATCATGCGGATTCCTTAAAATGGCCAAGTATGTTCAAGTATTATTACATGAATTTGCTTGTTATAGTGGAACTGATAAGGTGTATGGTAGATAGGTGAAAAGGAGAATCATGCATTGTGCATGCATGGATGCATGCTCGTTCGCACGCACGCACGCATGCACACACACATACACAAACACAATAAAACTCTTTGAAAGTAAATTTATCTGTGAATATCATAATTATTTATTTGAACATTGAACTGAAAAAATTTCAGCCTTTTTATTTCACAGAACCGGCTCTATAATGGTTACGTTTTCACGTGCTACGGCTTTTCTTGGATAGGTTCTTGATGGAGGCAGGTGTCAATATCTGTGTGGTGAACAGCGATGGGGACTTGGCCTTGGATGTGGCAGAGTCTGATGAGATGGAAAACCTCATCAATAGTGAGCTGTCCAGACAAGGTACGTATACATTGAAACGTGCAGTGATATTCGGAAAAAGGCTGCGGAAAGGAAAGAAGACTGAGAAAATGAAGTGTGCTGCATGAATCTGTAAATTTGTGTGCGGTGTGTCTGTGTGTGCGGTGTGTGTGTGGTGTGTGTGTGTGTGTGCGGTGTGTGTGTGTGTGTGCAGTGCTCAAAATAAGCGTTGTCCGGTTGTCCGAGACAACCAGAATTTGCGCCGGACAACCTAACCAGTCTGAGACATTGTCCGGTGGACAACCAAGAAAAATGTGACCAAAAACGCACTTTATTTATATTTTTCTGACCGCGGATTGAATTTATTTCGGCTGTCGATCGGCCTTGCATTGCGTCCATAGCTAGTGTTGTTTCACGGCTTCTCATTGGTCTCCCCATGACCGTCCTGATTCATGCAAAGTATTATGTTTACAGGTTGAAATAAAAAAACATTAGAGATATCGCTCCTACAATATGTTTTTGGGTGTTTTCTGACCATTATTATTATGTGATTGAAAATAGGAGATTTGGGGATATTTTTTGGGACAACCTGATTTGATGTCTGGGTTGTCCGCATTTTTTTTCTTATTTCAAGCACTGTGTGTGTGTGCGTGCGTGCGTGCGTGCGTGTGATGTCGAATTTGGGGGTCAAGGGCCAAAGGTCAGGATGTGTCAGATGTGTTAATGGAGGGGAAATATTTCTCCCTTAACTTAAGGTATAGGAGGAAATACGGAATTGCAGCACAAATGTCAACGGCTCAAGCTACGCTCTTAATATTCGAGTATAGTGTGATGGGGAGGAAACCCATCACCAGCGCGAAATTGAAGGTCACAGGTCAAAGGGCAGTGGGGGAAAGGTCAGATATCAGACATTTTCTGAGGACATAGTCTAACGGACCGAGTGCAAAACTTTTTTGTTTCAGCACTGACCTACCATTTTTATCACTTTATTGAAAGGACCATGAAATCTACTTTCCGCTGACGTGTGAAGAGTGAGTGTCTGATAACCTTTTGACCCTCAAGAGGAGGGTTAAACATGGATTTGTTGACTGTTAACAAAGGACTGAACTGCTTTTGCTAGGCTCCTGGGTACTTAGTAGTACAGTAGTACTTCACCTAGTAATTATTGTAACATGTACTTGTAGGTAATAAAAGATTCGTAGGTGTGGATACCATTCGATCGATGCTCGCATTGGGGATCGTCGTAGTATAATATGCATATATATATTACCATATCGTTAGCCAGTGCCTGTAGAATCAACGAGGCTGTAACGAGTCGGAGCGACTCCGCGAAATTCACTGTGAAATCCTTTTACGGAACACTTACACTTCAGCTTCCCACTGTTCACAGTTTAAGGCACTTCTGCACCATGTTGAAATCTTTAGTTTGATTGAGGGAGTGTATATGCAGAGATACAATAGCAGATAAGAAGTGACAATGAAACTAAACTGTTTAACTGGATTCTATTACGAATAGCGAAGACATGTTGTATATTGTTCCATATATATTCGGATCCTTCTACTGCTAGCCAGTCAACGCTACGCATGAGCGCCTATATATTGTTAACAATGTGAACAAAAACTCGTTTACAGCAAAGAAGCGCGCCTAGTAGCGAACAAAGAAATTGGGAGCATTTCTACGCCAGTTCTCTACCTAACTGGGTAGTTGCGTCCCTCGTGGCAATGGGCAGAACTGCCTATTCAGCGAAAAGCCGGCTTCAGCTATACCTAGGAGGAAGACCTGAGTAAGGGGGGGGTGAGGTTGGGGAAGAGGTCGCACGAAGTCTGCAAAGTGCGCCGGCTAGGCCCGGCGTTTGAGCGCCTTCGCGCGGATATCCGGCTGCCAGATCGTCCAGGTGCCAGGGCCAGGTGCCAGGTGTGTCGAGGGTGCGCGCAACTGGCGGCGGCGTGTGGTTTACAGTTGAAACGCTTCAAGTGCCTGTGGTTACGACTTGCATTGTTTTATCATAGAGGCTTTTGAAAGAGAAGTGCCCAACCATCTCGTACAATGCTGTAGAATACTTTTTCTTCTATTACACCATATTACTATTATGTCTCCAGGGGTTCTACGTTGGGGTTGTGCTGTCATATAAATGTCGTCGTTTAAAGCCGTTGTTTTTACATGCTTATTACTGATTACACTGATTTTGTAAATATTATATAGAGATTCACTATAGTTTTATTATGAGTATTATATAGTTTTGAGAGGTTACAATATGCTCAAAACATCACGCATTAAAGACGCGTACGCAAGTGAGTAAACATTCTTTTTATAATTACAAATTCCCCACTCGCATGCCTGTCTGTATACTATATATATCGCTTTTTTTATTCATGCTACATTCAGAATAGCCATTGTACCATTCCGAAAGCCTATGCCTTTCTGATTTCAGTTAGAAAAATTATTTTATTTGCACCATGGGCATGGTTGCCGCGCCAAGCATTCACTAGACAAATATCCATGACACAGACCCCACTCGCTGGCCTGTCTCTATCTATACTATATACCACAATTTCGTTAATTCATCCTACGTATCTGACAATGGTAATGCTTGACGTGGTGACTCAAACATGTTCGAGACGCCAGCAATCTCTACATATTTCCAACCAGACAACCTAACACGCGCAAAACCTAATGTTTATCAAGAGGTTCTTTCAAATGAAAACTGCAACCATTTCGTAGCATGCTGTTATAATAACTTTTTTCTCATTTTCAACCATTATTACGTATTATGTTCAGCACGGGTTTCTAAGTGGGTTCTTGCTGTTCATATAAATGTCCATACGTAACGAGTTTTCCCCATGCTTATTATCTTATTACCTGCTTTGTAAATATGATATTGTGTGCAATGTTATTATTGTTGATTTTTCCCAATGTTCCTATTGTGTCCAAATCGATTAGTAGTATGAATTAGTAAGCACGATTTTAGCCCAGCGCAGCGGTACCCCGGCAGCTACTAATAAATATAAGGAGGGACAACGAATAGAACAACTGACAGGAGACAACCACAGGTTTTGAAACCAGATTAGATTATGTAACGGAAAATACTGGTGACTATAAACACGTAACATCTAGAGAACTAGAGGCCCGGCATTAATGAATCTCCTTTTCTCTAGATAACCCCGCCACGCTGTAGAATCGAGTGCCCTTGTGAAATACAAGAGAGGTAACCAAGATACACAGATACAAGTACAAGGGTGATACAATTGTATGACACACCTACGAATACTTCGTATTACTTTACTATTAGTATTATACAAGGTTACATTTTACAATAATTACTAGTAGTAGATAGTACTACTATTATACTAGCACTACTCGCCACTACTGACTATACTAGTACTATAGTTTACTACTTACTAGAGCTACTAGCTGGCAGAAATGGTATTGCTAGGCGTTAGAATACCCTATAGGCTTTATTGACGTAGTGACACAGCTGGTCGGGTTACTAGACTAAGTACTAGACCTAAGTTACTACTATAGTCTAGAGCTACTTGAAAAAGTTCAAACCGCCCCCCCATTTTGCCCGGGAAATAGCACTTGAGCAAAAAAGTGAACGATGAGGAGGGGCGGGACGGGGGGAAAGCCTATATGTATATCTACTAGGGCTAGTACTACTACTAGCTGCCAAGAACGGGTCTTTGCTAGGGTAGAAGACCTGTGTAAAACACAATTTGATTGTGTAGATCCGAGTAAACAACCGAGCATTCCCACCATACGCATAGCGAGCGGCTGACGCGTTAAACAGAAAAAATAATCGCCAATGCTATGCATAATAGCCTCGTTACGCCAATCTATCGCAGCCTATCGTACTACCTGATGTACCTCATGTACGTTATGTGAAAAAATGTAACAGTGTTTTCACAGAACAAAGCGCCGCCGAATAGCCAAAAATTTTGTACGAGAATTTCTAGCAAATGTCTAGCTACCTGGGTAGTGAAAGCTCCCTGCAATTGCGACAACTGCTGAACGGCACCGATAATAGGGCTTTCGCCTATAACCCAAAGGGGACCCTTGGAAAGGTGTGTGGAGTGGGGGCAGCGAAGTCTGTGGTTAGTTTGGGCCGCTACGCGGCGTTTTCGCGCGCTTCGCGCGCGGATATCCGGGCTGCAGAAATCGCCAGTGCGCCTCCCGCTGCCTATGTGAGCTTTGCTAAACCGGCTAGTACAGTAATAAAGATATAGCCTGCTGTAACTTTAATGACCATCGCTATTATAAGTTATATGTATATGCGGCTAGAGCGAGCTGAGCATAGTGGTGGTGGTTGGGGAGGGTGGGGAGGGGAAGGGTGTCGGTAGGGGCTGGTGGAGGGGGCTCTATA